ACCTCTGGGCTGATCTAAGTCAGGGCATGGTTAACTCACAGATTAAACCCTGAAACAACCTCTGGGCTGATCTAAGTCAGGGCATGGCTAACACACAGATTAAACCCTGAAACAACCTCTGGGCTGATCTAAGTCAGGGCATGGTTAACTCACAGATCAAACCCTGAAACAATTTCAGGGCTGATCTAAGTCAGGGCACAGCTAACTTACAGATCAAAACCTGAAACAACCCATATATCCGTGAAAAAAGTAGCAAGCAAAATTGTACAAATAAGTGCAAAGTTTTCAAACATGTACTAGTTTGTGCAAATGTGTGTAATTTCGTACAACGTTTTTCACGAATTTTTGGTATGCACTAGATAATTTTCAATCTGTATTAGCCCTAAGTTTCATGACTGCTTTGTCTATACTTCTCACCTTGCATTTTGGACAAATCCACATTCCTGAGGGTATCCCCGTGAGGGGTGGGTCCAGGCACTTCAAATGGTACACTAGATTACAGGTATCACACATAAGTAGCTCACCATTAGACTTACAAACTGTACATGCATTCTCATGATCGTCATCCTAAGAAAAACAAACAACCCTTGGTTAGTAATGTAGAGTGATAATTAGCCATGTCCTGAGAAAATTTAGATAAATTTCTTTAAYACAATCCAATACAATTTATACCATGTGAACGGCTAGCGCCGAAAAGGTGAATTCTGATTGGTTGACCTTGAGTTTGTTCTGAAGGTCAACTCAGCAGGTTAGAGCTGCAGCAGATGCCAATCAAAAGTCACACAACTAACCTCATCTGGGGGAGAATCCTCAGTGATAAAACGTCTGTACTTGAACCTCTTGTTTCCTGGTTCCCCTAACCCATTGGGTACAGGAGATGTGGTCTTTGGGGAACATGGTGCACTGCTGGAATACTTGGGTGGGCGCCCAACTGGTAAGAAATAAAAAAATGTACAATAAATTATAGAATGGGCTGAGCACACACTACAGGGTGACCAGTAGTGATAAACGGTGCATAAAAATTTGGATTTGGACAGTGTACACACCACAGGCTGACCAATGTAAAGAGTGAAGTGCACAACACAGGGTGACCAATAATATGGGAAAATACCAATATAAATAGTGAAGTGCATACCACAGGGTGACCAATGTATATGGGAAAGTTCACACCACAGGTTGACCAATGTATATGGGATGTGCACAACACAGGGTGACCAATGTATATGGAGAAGTTCACACCACAGGGTGACCAATGTATATGGGAAAGTTCACACCACAGGGTGACCAATGTATAT